AAGGCGCCAGCCACATACACCTAAGGTGGCAGGTTCGAATCCCCAGCCCGGGCCCGCCAAACAACAATGATGGCTGCAACCAAAAAATGGCCAGGCCAGGTGGGCGCCTGTAGTCCCAGCTACTTGGGAGGCTGAGGCAGGAGACTCGCTTGAGCCCGGGAGTTGGAGGTTGCTATGAGCATGATGCCATGGCACTCTACTCAGGGGGATAGCTTGAGGCTCCGTCTCAAAAAAAAAAAAACTGAAAACAAACAAACAAAAAAAAAAAAGAGCAGACCAGGCACAGTGGGTCACACCTGCAATCCCAGCACTTTGGGAGGCGCAGGTGGGAGGATCACTTAAAGTTAGGAATTCAAGGCTGCATTGAGCTATAATTGTGCCACTGCCCTCTAGGCCTGGGTGATAGAGTGAGACTCTTACTCATAAAAAAAGAGAAAAAAGCCCAAACCGTAAATTACTCTTAGTATAAGTTTTTGCTTTAAACACAATTACTTAAAATTACTTTATTTTATGATTTGGTTTGATTTGATTTTTGTAATTTCAGGGAACCGGGGGATTGGACACCTGCTCTGTAACGATGAGCTTCTGAAAGCCTCTCTGTCGCTGTCCCATGCCCACTCAGTGCTCATCACCACCGGGTTCCCTACCCACTTCAATCACCAGCCTCCGGAAGAGACAGATGGCCCACCAGGAGCCATTGCTCTGGCTGCCTTTCTGCAAGCCTTAGAGAAGGAGGTCTCCATGGTAGTTGACCAGAGGGCCTTGGACTTGCACCAGAAGCTCATTGAAGATGCTATTGAGCAAGGTGAGCAGTGAGAGGGGCTTGGTCCACTTCCCAAAACATGCCTTTGTGGGCAGAGGCTAGAGGGGTCAGCATTCATAGTACTTTCACTGGGCCCCTGGCACAGGGCTGTGTGCTCAGAACAACTCTTTGTCATTGGACTGCTTATCCTTATCTTGTAGATGAAAAGACTGAGGCTCCAAGAAGCCTGATGATTCACCCAGGTGGGAATGTTGAGCTGGCTCCAAAGCATATGACCCTTCCTGTGCACCTGCTGCCCTCCCTGTGTGAGGCGGGGCGTGACCTGCCAAGTACTCTTAGCAGCCCAGGGCAGCTCTGGACCTCCAGAGTGGGGAAGGGGTGTTGGAGTATAGAGTGGTTGAATGCTCAGACAGCAGTGTCCCACATGGCCCACACCGACAGGGAGGCACCAGAGAACACAGGTGGGCATTAGACCTGTGGGAATTAAAGACATGAGGCTGTGATGCCTCTGGCAGTGTGATGAAATTGGCTTGGTGTGAATAGCGGCTCCTCACCTTGCCTCCATCCTGCAGAAATTTTACTTGGGCAGAATCTAGAAACCTGGTGAGTCTAGACTGCATCCCACTACCAGTCTCTCTGTGTCCCTCAAGATTCATTCTTCAGAGAAGAATTATCTTCCTTTTAGTGTTTAAAAAGGGTTTAAACCCCAGTAAGGCATACCCTAAAGCATCCATTCCCTGGGAAGCTTCAAAAAGTCTGCATCTGTGCATACAGAATGCATTGCATGCCACAAATGTCCATTGAGCACCCACAATGTGCCAGAAACTATTTTAGGCTTTTGAGGTCCCTCGTGACAAAAATGACAGCAGTGTGGCCTCACAGAGCACATCTCCTGGTGGAGTGTGGCAGGCAGTAGACGAAATGTGCACACAGGACGTTAGAAGGAGGCACTGCTCTAGGAAGAGGTGTGGACCAGCCTGAGGGAATTGGAGATGGGGCGTGCAGCAGGGCTGCTGGTCTAACAGGGTGGTCTGTCCCCTGAAAGTGACATTTGATCCCAGGCTTTGAGTTGATGAGGGGGTCAGGCCTGGGCTGGCTGAAGGAAGAGCTTCCTAGGCTGTGGATCATGGCCATGGTTAATATCACTGGATTGCTATGGAAACAGGGGTAAAAGCAGACTGGTCAGGTTATTGGGGGTGGGAGACAAGGGGCTTGGAGAAGCTGGTGCACATGGCACATCCCTTCAGCTCAACCCCACCCTACCCCACCCTGTCTGATGTCAGCCACAGCTGGAGTGATGTTCTGAGTCACGCTAACCTGGCTAGGCCCCACCACAGGTCAGGTCCCTGCAGGGCCTCTGCAAAGCCATGTAAAGCCACACCATCCGGATGTGTGGAGCCAACAGCTTCAGACACCCTCAAGCCCTAGGGGACAGGAGCTGCAGGACAAGAGCCCTGCCTCCTGTCAAGACAAACATCCAGGGCTTGGCGCATGTGGCTCAAGCGGCTAAAGCGCCAGCCACATACACCTAAGGTGGCAGGTTCGAATCCCCAGCCCGGGCCCGCCAAACAACAATGATGGCTGCAACCAAAAAAATGGCCAGGTGTTGTGGCAGGCGCCTGTAGTCCCAGCTACTTGGGAGGCTGAGGCAGGAGACTCGCTTGAGCCCAGGAGTTGGAGGTTGCTGTGAGCATGATGCCATGGCACTCTACCCAGGGGGATAGCTTGAGGCTCCGTCTCAAAGAAAAAAAAAAAAAGACAAACATCCAGGTAGAAGTGAGACCCACTCCCTAGAGCCATGGCCTTGAAGGTGCATATTTTCCCCCTCCAGCCTTGCTTTCCCTGATCCCTCCTTCCTGCTTCCTGGCACCACCTCCCATGAAGTCACCTGTGCCCAAGTCTCAGGCTGTAGTTTCAGGGGAACACAAACAGATGGGTGGCACAAGTATAAGTGGGAGTGGTAAGAAGGAGCCAGGTGCTGTGGATACTTCGCGGGCAGAGTCAGCATGGGGTCCTGATGGTTTGGATATAGGTATGACAGGGATCGGGGCTCTTTCTAAGGCTTCTGGACTGGGGAATGGGAAGGACTGATTTGCTGTAAAGTGGGGGGAGTGCAAGTTTCAGCATGAATCAGGAGTCCAGGTTTGACGCTTGTGTCCTGTTGGTAGGATTGTAAAATGGGGCAGATGCCGCATAAAACAGTATGGCAGCTGCTCAAGAAATCAAAAATAGAAACTACCATATGATCTAGCAATTCCACTTCTGGATACATAACCCCCAAAAGTGAAAGCAGAACCTCAAGAGATATTTGTCACTCATGCTCATAGCAACATTGTTAGAAATAGCCAGGAGGTGAAAGCAACCCAAGTGCCCTTTGATAAATAAGATAAATAAGACACAGTATATAGACACAAGGGGATATAGGTCAGCCTTAGGGATACAGGAAGTTCGGGCACGTGCTACAATATGGGTGAACCTTGAGGACATTATGGTCGTATTGCATGAGTCCACTTATCTGAGGTCCCCAGAATAGTCAAATCCATAGGAACAGAAAATAGAACCATGGTTCCCAGAGTACAATGGGGGGATTGTTGTTTTATGGGTATAGAGGTTCAATTTGGGAGGATGAAAAAGTGCTGTAGATGGCTTGGTGGCCGTAGCACAGTGGTTCAAACCAAGGCTGGTGGGTTCGAACCCAGCCCAGCCCAGCTAAACAACAATGACAACAACAACAATAACAAAAAATAGCCGGGCATTGTGGTGGGCACCTATAGTCCCAGCTACTTGGAAGGCTGAGGCAAGAGAATTGCTTAAAGCCCAAGAGTTTGAGGTTGCTGTGAGCTGTGATGCCACAGCACTCTACTGAGGTTGACATAGTGAGACTGTGTCTCAAAAAAAGAAAAAGTTCTGTAGATGGATAGTGATGATGGTTGTACAATGTACCTACTGCCACTGTACACTTAAAAGTGATAAATTTTATGTGTATTTTGGCACATAAGCACATAAAACCCAGAGTGTAGCTCTGAACCTGTTGAATATGAGCTGTCTAACACACAGGTGGAGAAGTCATGTGGGCAGTCAGTTACACAGAGTGAGTTCAGGAGAGCGGTCTGGGCCAGGAAGATACTTGGAGAGCTGTTGACATATTGATGGGGTCGGGACCCTGGATGAGATCTCCCCCGCAGAAATAAGTAGCGACAGCAAAGAACCTAAGATTGCATCCTGGGACTCCCCTGGAAAACAGGACCAGGAGAAGGTATGCAGCCAGCAAGGGAGATGAGCAGTGGCAGCCGGAGGAGAGGAAAAGCCAGGGACTGAGTTGTCTTGGTGCCGGGAAACACACCAAGGAGGAAGGGGATGCTGCTCCCTGACCAATATCTCATTTCCACGTGACAATGGCTTTGGTGAAGGTGCTTAGGCACCTGCTTCCCAGAAGTAGCTTTGCTCCCTCTGCTCACCTGGCGCTGGGCTCAGAGGCCCCCCAGCTTCCACATGGATCCAGTGCTCACCCACATGGGCTCTGAGCCTGGAATTTGCTATGCTGGATTTTGCAGAATTATCATTACGTTTGGACAAAGAATGTAAAAGCAATTTGGCCTTTTAGTAAAAATTATTTCAGTCTTTTTTTGTTATAGCAGAACCTTAGGAAATTTTTTTTTTTTTTTTTTAGACAGAGCCTCAAGCTATCACCCTGGGTAGAGTGCTATGGCATCACAGCTCACAGCAACCTCCAACTCCTGGGCTCAAGTGAGTCTCCTGCCTCAGCCTCCCAAGTAGCTGGGACTACAGGCACCCACCACAACGCCTGGCCATTTTTTGGTTGCAGCCATCATTGTTGTTTGGCGGGCCCGGGCTGGGGATTCAAACCTGCCACCTTAGGTGTATGTGGCTGGCGCCTTAGCCGCTTGAGCCACAGGCGCCGAGCCTGCTTAGGAAATTTTTTAAAAAATAAAAAAAAAGAAGAAAAGACAAAGTCATTTCTTCCCTGTCTTGAGCATAAACTGACCACAGATCTTTCTTTGTAGCTCAGAAGTGAGATGTCATCTTGCCCTGACCTTCCTTTTGAGACATGGGTCCTTTCTCATGTCTGTCTCTCACTTTGGGGTATGTTCCTGGCCTGTTGGGCTCCTTGGTACCCCTTCTTACTAGTATCCTATTTCCTTGATCCAATATCAAAGAAGTAAGAAAGAGCCAGCCTCTGCTCAGCGGCTCCCTTATGCAGCTACTCAGCCGGGTACCCCACATGCGCCCTCATGCCATGCTGGGAGGTGGGTGTCATTAGCACCTGTTTTGCAGAGGAGATAGCTGGAGCTCACAGGGTTTATGTGGCTTGGTCACATCGCTGGGAAGTAGCCTGATGTTGCCATCTAGGGTTGTTTCACTGTAACTTCAGCCTCCCTGGCTCACCGGGATGCCCATGCAGCACATAGAGGGGCTGGGCCCTTCCCTTTGTCATGACTGTCCCCCTCCAAATTCCCTCACTATGGCTTTGCAGGTAGGATTTGCTCAGTGAACATGCCCTGAGGGACTGATGACCATCTCCTGCCTTCCTCCTCTGAGCCAGGAGTGAGGCTAGGGGGAGAGGGGAGGGAGCCCCATGAAGGGCACTTGGGTGCTTGACAGTGATCCTTGTTCCTCACCTCAGCTTGCCCCACTGACCCCCTAGGGTGGAAGCTCCCAAAGGAGTCTCAGGAAGCAAGTGATTTTGACATAGACACTGTGGCTGTGCTTACCTGGTGGCCTTTTGTGAGGGTGTGAGGGGCTGACAAAGGAGATTATGGAAGGTGTCTGAAGGGCCCCCAAGTCCATGCCTTGGCACCTGCTGGGCCGCAGAGTTGTCTAGGAGCTCCTGCAGGACCATAAGTGATGGGCCCAAGATCCCCTGCCCCAGGCTCTCTGTATGGAGCAGACTTTGTTCTGGGCCACTGAATATGCCAACCTGTGAGGTAGACAGTTAATGATAAACCAAGTTTATTTATTTTGCTCTTGGATTTTTCTGGTTTTTTCCCACATATTCTATAACAATATGTACTATTTTTTTAATTACGAAAGGTGCCATTTTTGAGTCAAATTTGCTTTCAAAAGCACTCTGATGCAGGTAGCTAAGCCAAGGCCCAGACTCTGAGAATTTTCCCTTGGTTGTTCTTGAATGTCCCTGAAGATGTGTGGGGAGGTAGAGAGTGGGGTGAGAATTGGAGTTGTGGTGATGATGTGCATACATGACCTTGCCAGAATTGTTTAGTATCTCTGGACCTCAGTTTTCCCTTTCTGTAAAATGGGAATAATGTGGGGTTTTAGCACACTGAATTGTTGTGAAGATTAAATGAGAGTGTGTAGGTCAATTGCTTAACAGAGGGCTGGCGTCTTATAATGAGGGCATCTAACTGTTATAGTGGCTATGAGACAGAATAGGCTACTATACCCATGGGCATCTTACACACAGCACACTGGCTGGCCTATACTAGTCTAATTCCGCCCCCCACTCCCTGCCAACCTTGGTGTTTACTCAGGACCAAAAGAAAACTGAAGTGTACTGTGTCAGAACCTTGGCTCACCTAACAAAGTGTTCTGCAGATAGACCTCATTCAGTAATGGCAATGATACTCTCCAAAGAACCTTTGGAAAATCCAGCATGAATTCCCAAAATGCTAGGACTGAGGTGTCTACCCTTTGTCTTTATTTTCTATTTTCAAGGTGTTCTGAAGACACAGGTCCCATTATTAACTTACAAAGGTGGATCAGTGGAAGTTGCTCAGGAGTTTCTCTGCAAAGATGGGGACCCCAAGTCACCTAGGTATGTATGTCCCATCCTAGTTTAAGTGGATGTTGGTGGGAAAGCCCTTGTACTCTAAACTTTACCAACAAAGCTTCTGCACACCCTGGCCCTTCAGAGGGATCAAAGCCATGAACCAAGACTAATGAACAAGGCTGAGGGGGTTTCACGGTACACTGGGGATTCACAGAGCATCTCTGGAAGTAGCAGATCCCTGGTCAGCAGGGGGAGATGACATGTCTTCTGACCAGAGAGAAGAGATATAATTATTTTTAAAATTTCAAAGGCTCTCAAACTGTGAGTCACAGCCCATTAGAGCAGTGGTTCTCAACCTTCCCTATGCCACAGCCCTTTAATACAGTTCCTGTGGGTCATGACCCATAGGTTAAGAACTGCTGCATTAGAGAGTAGTAAAATCATTTCAGTTGGGGGCGACCGCCACCATTGGGAAATGAAATAGAAAAACAGTGTCATTGTGTATCTTGTGTAGTAATGGTAAGTATTCTTTTATGAAACTGTGTCTGTATGTATATTTTACTGTGTATATGATGGTTAAATATTTTCAGAAATACTTCTTTATTTTAGATAAAGATGTATTTCAGGGCTCAGTGCCTGTGGCTCAAGTGGCTAAGGCGCCAGCCACATACACCTAAGGTGGCGGGTTCAAATCCAGCCCGGGCCTGCCAAACAACAATGACAGCTGCAACCAAAAAATAGCCGGGCGTTGTGGCGGTCGCCTGTGGTCCCAGCTACTTGGGAGGCTGAGGCAGGAGACTCACTTGAGCCCAGGGGTTGGAGGTTGCTGTGAGCTGTAATGCCATGGCACTCTACCCAGGGGGACAGCTTGAGGCTCTGTCTCAAAAAAACCCACAAAAGACGTATTTCAGATCTTATATTTGTAACACAGTGTTTTGTGAATTTTTTTGGCAATATGCCTTGGCACCTGCAAACCAAAATTTCATAGTGCAAACCAGTATACATATACATAGAAATAGAAGTTTAGACAAAAAACAGTGTTGACTCTTGCTATGTGCAGTGTACTCTGATCTATCCTATTCTATTCTATGCTGTGCTATGCTATCCTCTTCTATTCTAGTCTTGTCAAAAAATGCAGATCTGGCCCTATAAATTTTATAAGGCACTAGCAAATGTCCACTTAGAATTTTAAAATACGCTTCAATAGGCCTTGAGGGCATAGCTATGACAGTTCCCAACAGAATCTGGTGTTGGTAATGAGACTCTTTGACCACCAAGCAAAAATTCAGTCATGGGTTTGATACACTGTTTAAAGCTGCAAGAACATATGTGGTGTGCATTAGAAATGTTTATATTCTCCCAGTGGTTGGCATACAAGTATTAGAAGCCCTGGATCCTGAAGGAGAAACTAGGAAATCCTCTTGGGTGGGACCCCAATGTTAGATAATGTAGGTGTCGCTCTGTTTGCTGTGGAGCAGAGTGAGCCAGATTTGCTGGTGGGGAGAGATAACTTGTTCATCTTGGAGAAGATGAGTTAACTTTTCCCGGGGAACTGGCAGCCCAAAGCTGAATTGTAACTCCCCCTCTCCGCCATAACTAAATGGAGGCTTCTGGACTAAAAAATCTGTAACCCCCACAATGTATACACTGGAATTCTTCCTGAGGGGAGGTCCAGAAGTAGAGTTCTCCCTCCAGAACAGAGGACACATTGCTCTTGACTGCAGCTCTTGATCTAACTGCCTTTTTATCACAAAGTGGAGGAAATGTAGTGTCAAAGCTTCTTCCTCCTGTTAATTAGGCTTCTCAGTGTCCGGCTTTTCCTGCACCAGATGGACATGGAGCCGCAGGATTACACTCTAAGACCTACTCAATGGTCTACCCATTTGAGGCACATGTGGCACTACCACATTCTAGCACAACCAAAGAATATGAACAGGCATGTACATTTTTTTTTTTTTTGAGACAGAGCCTCAAGCTGGCCCCCTGGGTAGAGTGTCCTGGCATCACAGCTCACAGCAACCTCCAACTCCTGGGCTCAAGCAAGTCTCCTGCCTCAGCCTCCCAAGTAGCTGGAACCACAGGCGCACGCAACAATGCCCGGCTATTTTTTGGTTGCAGCCATCGTTGTTGTTTGGCAGGCCAGGGCTAGATTCAAACCCGCCACTTTAGGTGTATGTGGCTGGCACCTTAGCCACTTGAGCCACAGGCACCGAGCTGTACATTTTGTTTTTTAAAAGCATTTATAGAAGAAGTCACAGCTTTTTTTATTATGGCAAAATATGCATAACACACAATGTTTTTTTTTTTTTGACGGAGCCTCAAGCTATCCCCCTGGGTAGAGTGCCATGGCATCACGCTCACAGCAACCTCCAACTCCTGGGCTCAAGCGAGTCTCCTGCTTCAGCCTCCCAAGTAGCTGGGACTACAGGCGCCCGCCACAACACCTGGTCATTTTTTGGTTGCAGCCATCATTGTTGTTTGGCGGGCCTGGGCTGGGGATTCGAACCCGCCACCTTAGGTGTACGTGGCTGGCGCCTTAGCCGCTTGAGCCACAGGCACCGAGCCAACACACAATGTTGTTACCAGTTTTAAGTGTCCAGTTCAGCGGCCTTATATACATTCACATTGTTGTGCCGCCATCACTGCCATCTATCTCCAGAACCTTTCCATCTTGCAAAACTGAAACTCTGTACCTATTAAATACAACTCCTCATTTCCTCCCCAACCCGGCCCCTACCCCTACTTTCTGTCTAGGAGTCTGACTACTCTAGGCACTCTCGTGTGAGTAGAGTCATACATGTACAAAATTGGTCCTGTGTGACTGGCTCATTTCACTTAGCATAATGTCCTCAAGATTCATTCATATTATAACATGTGTCCAAATTTCATAACTTTTTTTTGAGACAGACTCTCATTTTGTCGCCCTTGGTAGAGTGCTGTGGCGTCACAGCTCACAGCAATCTCCAGCTCTTGGGCTTAAGCCATTCTCTTGCCTCAGCCTCCCAAGTAGCTGGGACTACAGGTGCCTGCCACAGTGCCTGGCTATTTTTTGTTGCAGTTTGGCTGGGGATGGGTCCAAACCTGCCACCCTCAGTATATGGGGCTGGTGCCCTACTCACTGAGCCACAGGCACTGCAATTTCATACCATTTTAAGGCTGAATAATATTCCTTTTTGTGTATGAACCCCATTTTGTTTATCCATTCATCTCTCCATGGGCACTTGGCTTGCTTCTACCTCTTAGCTACTGTGAATAATGCTGCTGTGAGCACGGGTGGACAAATACCTCCTCCAGTCTTTCACTACTTTTGGACGTATACCTAGAAATGAAATTGCTGGATCAAATCTTCTGAGGAATGGCCATACTGTTTTCCAAAGAAGAATTTATATTTTGAAAAACTCTATGGTGGGGAGACAGAGATGTAAAAGTACAATTTTTGTGTTCTTAAATCAAATTTTCAAAACACTATTCCTGCCAGGTGCAGTGGTTCACACCTATAATCCTAGCACTCTCGGAGGCTGAGGTGGGAGTTCAAGACCAGCCTGAGCAAGAGTGAAACCCTGTCTTTACTAAAAATGGAAAAACTAGCTGAGCATTGTGGCAGGTGCCTATAGTCCTAGATACCCAGGAGCCTGAGGCAGGAGGATCACTTGAGCCCTAGAGTTTGAGGTTGCTGTGAGCTATGATGCCATAGCACTCTACCTAGGGGCGACAGAGTAAGACTCTGTCTAAAATATATAGGTATATATATTCTTTTTTTCCTGCTAAGAATAATAGCAACAACAACTAACATGTACTGAGCACAAAGTGGGCACAGGCTTTGGTGGTGATTCCTACCTCTTGTGCATTTTCTCATTTAACCCTTTCAGCACTATGTAAGATAGGTATTGTTGTTATGTCACCTTATAGATGCAGAAATGAAGGTTAGGAAGGTTGGTCAACTTGCCCAAGGCCAGTGGTAGGAGGACATGAAATTGGAACCCAGATGACAGGTTCCACAGCCCACATTCTGACCACCATGCCAACTGTGGCCTTACTTCTCTATCTAAGCAGTTTGTCTTGTGTTAGATTTATTCACTTTCTGTCTCCATTCCTTTTCCATCTGTTTTGTGTCTATAAACCAAACAAGACCTGGCAGGGGGCAGCAGTAGACCCATAGCAGCTGACATTCAGAACCGTCGGGGGCTGGCTACTCTGCTGGACTAAGAGGATGGCGGTGGGCACGAGCAGCATCCCCGTCCACCACAGTAACCCTGACCATCAACCTCCCTGCTCACAGCCTCTGAGTCTAATAAAGAAATGGATGGAGATTCTGAAGCTATTTCTTAAAATGATCTGATAGACAGGCCCTGGCATAGCTTAAGTGTTTATTCAAGTTCTGTAGGAGTGAAGGAATCAAAGAAAGAACAAAGTAGCCAGCACACAAACACACAAAGGCATGACGCAACATGTACTGTCCAAGAGGGCCCAACTGCTCTTATTCCTCGCAGATTTGACCACCTGGTGGCCATAGAGCGTGCCGGCAGAGCTGCTGATGGCAATTACTACAACGCCAGAAAGATGAACATCAAGCACTTGGTGGACCCCATTGACGATCTTTTTCTTGCTGCCAAGAAGATTCCTGGAATCTCATCAACTGGTAAGGAAGGAGAGCATTAGCACTGAGTGTGCAACAAGAACCTGTCACTGCCAAGTGTCTTTTTATTGACTGCTGAACACATGACCAGAAAGAGTTACATGGAGGGACGGTGCCTGTGGCTCAGTGAGTAGGGCTCCGGCCCCATATACCGAGGGTGGCAGGTTCAAACTCGGCCCCCGGCCACTGCAACAACAACAAAAAAATAGCCGGGCGTTGTAGCGGGCACCTGTAGTCCCAGCTACTCGGGAGGCTGAGGCAAGAGAATCGCCTAAGCCCAGGAGTTGGAGGTTGCTACGAGCCAGGCGTCCTCAAACTATGGCCTGCGGGCCACATGCGACCCACCAAGGACATTTATCCAGCACTCCGGGTGTTTTTGCCTCCGCTGCCTGTCCTGTTAGCAGCCGACTTGTCCTGGGACCCACAGTCTGGCCCTCCAATGATCTGAGGGACAGTGAACTGGCCCCATGTTTAAAAAGTTTGAGGACCCCTGCAGCAGTGTGATGCCACAGCACTCTATTGAGGGTGATAAAGTGAGACTCTGTCTCTACAAAAAAAAAAAAGAAAGAGTTACATGGAGACTAAGGTTTTTCATTCTAAGGAAAATCTTTATTATGGTCAGTACAGACACTAACGTCACTGCCATTCAGAAACCCAGCATTCCCACAAGCAAGGAAGGGAAATGACCCTTATAACCAAGCACGTTCTGTTCGCCTGACTCTAAAGTAATACTACTACTAATAAAATAATATCAATGGTAAAACTGAGGCACAGCATGTTGTTTTAGTCACATAGGTTGGAATGGACCATGTGTGTTGTGTATCATTTTATGAAGCGTATTAATTTTTAAATATATCTAATATATGATTAGAATAATATTTCTTGTTGATAATGTAATAATTTGTGATAATTTGCGTTTGTACAGAACTTCATAATTTTCTAAGAGGTTTCACATCTGTTGTATTATTTCAGCCTCTCTACACCACTTTTAGGCAGGCAAGGCAGTATATTATCCAACAGTGAGGCCTGGGGCTGGTGGCTTTAGAAGGCACATAGAGACTCCCCCTAACCCATTATCATGAATTTCCAAAAGGCTTACTGGAACCTTCCTGGAGAACTCACTTTCCTCCCTCTGGGGGCAGGTCTCAGGCCCCGGGTACTTTTCTGGCATTCTGTGTTTATTGTTCTCTCCATTCAAACACTTCTGTTTCCCAGACTCATTAGTCTGCTTTGTCTTTTGAGGCTTTGATGAGACAATGAAAGCCTTCTGGGCTGCTAAGAAAATTTCTGCAAATTGCTCTGGCCTTTCCCAGAAGAGGCTGTGGGTGTGGTACACAGCAGAGCCTTCCAGCTTCCTGTCACTTCCTTGGGCAGGCAAGACCAGAGCCCTGGGTTCCAGGAGAGAAGGAAGCTGTCCTCAGGTCTAAAGGAACAAATAGGGTCTGAAAGAGCTACTGGGACAAGCCCATAACTCCCAAATGGGACCCCAATCTGTGCTGTGATGCCCCTGAAGCCCCAAAGGAAGCAGATGGACCTGGACATTTGTGGCTTCAAGCTGCCCCCCTTTGTAGGCCCCTGAACCGTTCAAACCCTTATTCCTCAGGAACCATAAACAGCTGCCAGGTCATGGGCGTAGCACTCAATTAAGAATCAAGATTCTCACTTCCCATGTGCTGCCCACCTCAGAGAGGGGCCTGCTCTGTACAGTAAAGATAACAACACTGTGGATAAGACTGACGAGACATGTGAACAAGATAAAGTTCATAAAACACTAAAAAAGACACATTCAGACAAAATACCAATATTATGCAGTGGCATTATTTTCCTTCAATGGCCTGTCAACAGATCTAGAAAATTTTTCTGGAAAAATCATCAGGTATGAATCCAAGGTGTTTAGTCATTCACAACTCTTTTGGCCAAATCCAGTCCTCATGCTTGAGTTGGGTGAGTTCTATTTCCCCCTTTGCCATCCCTCAGTGAACACTTGTGATTCTCCCACAGATCTCAGCCTCTATAGAGGCCGACACTAGAACAGTGGCACATCTGTTTTGTAAGCATGAGATGCCTAGCCCTCTGTCCCCGAGGCACAAAGACACCCGCAGTGCATTAAAGGTTATTGAGACAGCTGCAGCCATCTTCTAGATTGGTTCAGTTGACCTTCAATCCACAGAATCCTCCAGAAATACCTAGACTCAGAACCAAACAGTATCCCTTAGACCTAGAGCACTTTTTCAAGGTATATAGGCTGCAGGGCTTACTAGATTTGATTTTAAATCTTGTTTCACAAGTGTAAGGGTGTTTGTTGATTATTTTTAGCCAGTCTACCTATCCTGAACATCATTCATTTCACCAGTGAATGAAATCATTTCCAACATTTATTTATTCTGGCACTCAGTTATTATGCTAATCAACAAATCCTCTGGTGCTAATTATCAGTTGGGTCTCTGGTCTCTTTCAAGTGCTAACCCACTGCCCTTAGAGTGTGTGTACTCCTGATTAGGCTATCTCTCATGTTTGCCAGGCACCCCTCTGCTATAGATTAAAATTACTTAATACACGCACATTTCTCATTAAGCAGAAGCCTTTAAAGTAAATTGAGAACTGACTATAACTATCTGTACCAGTTCCCTCTGCCAGTGTAATGTCCAGTTACCCCAATGGGGCTCAGTGAGCGGGAGGCAGTTGAACAGTGGATCTGTGTGTCACCTTCTTGCATCTCCTGTGGGCCAGGCACCAGCAGCACAGAGCATGCTCCATCTGTCCCCCAAAGGGGGACAAACCCACGCTCTGGTAAATTCTAAACTTAAACTCACAAGGCTGGAGCAGAAAGCACATCTGAAAATATGTTGAAAGCCAACCTCTTTCCCTTCCCAGAAGTGACAAAGCACATGTGGAGGGGCTTCCTTGCCCCACAACCACCCCATTTTGCCCTGACCCTGTGTGCTTACACCATTCTCCCTTCCCACAGGAGTAGGTGATGGAGGCAATGAGCTTGGGATGGGCAAAGTCAAGGAGGCTGTGAAGAAGCATATACGGAATGGGGATGTCATCGCTTGTGATGTGGCAGCTGACTTTGCTGTCATTGCTGGTGAGTACTTGTATGGCTGCCTAGTCAGGCCCAGCTGCCCAGGATGGGGGATGTGTCTTAGAGCCTAGGCCAGGCCAGAAGGTCTTCTTCTTTGCAAGTGGTACAGAAGGTACAAAGGCAGGGAGGGGATGTGGTTCTCAGCCTCTAATTTCTCATAGTCATTCAACAAACACTAACTCTGTGCCAGGCATTCACCTGAGCATTGGGGTTATAGCAGTAATGACCCCCTCTACAGAGCTCTGATTCTAGGACTGGAGATAGGTGATGAGCCCTGACAAATACACACACCAGATGATTTTAAATAATGATAAGGGCTATGAGGTGATAGAATGAGTAGGTGAGAGGGAGTGACAGGAGGTATACTTTCTCTGTGGTCAGGAAGACATCTCAGAAGAGGGTAATCTGTGCTTTCATCTGCCTAGTGAATGGGAAGACAAGAATTCCGTACATGTTTGGAGGAAGCAAGAGGCTTCCCACCTCTCCTTTCACTTTCTTCTGCCTCAGGTTGCCTGGCCCTTCCTGCTGCTGCCCTTCCACCCCAAGACCCACCTTTCCCACATCCAGGTCCTTTTAGGCCTGGCCTTCCTCCCTCAACCTCCCCACAAGTTTCAGAAAGATTGACAGATACCCAGGAAAGGCTCTCTTTCATGGTCAAAATTAGCCTGGAGAGAAGGGAAACTTTTGGGGAATCAGTGCCAGGGTGGGAAAACCTGGACCGTGATCGAGGAATTGCTGGAGACTCAGTGTGAAATAAGAGATTGAGAGTTAAAAACTCCAGGGGGCCCACATGGGGGGAGGGAGATGAGAACCGTGCTTTTGTGAGTTTACTTCCAGGAGCTCAACCAGGTTCTCACAATGTGTATCAAAGAAAAATCCCCTCATGCTTCTGTCAGGGGGTAAGGAACATGAACCATTTTCAAATATACCAGAACATTCTGTTCTTCTTAATAAGATCTGTTCCCAAGGAAAATCATTTTACCAGACAGTAACTTACCTGGGGGAAGGGAAACACCCAACTCCAATTTCCTCTATCAATGCTGTCCCAACTAAGGGGGTTGGGGGCCAAAAACTGAGAAGTACTGGTGAAGTTCACAGGACAGAGGCACAGGCTTCCAAAAGGCTGAGACCTAATCATAGGACCATATACTGTTCCCTCCCCTTTCCTTCTTCTCTGTACCTTACCACCCCATTACTAAAGGCCCATTTGCTGCAGTTCCTTTTACAAGTATATCATGTTCACCTTTTTTTTTTTTTTTTGAGAGTCCCAAGCTGTTGGCCTAGGTAAAGTGCTGTGGCATCATAGCTCACAGCAACCTCCAACTCTTGGGCTCAAGCGGCTCAAGTGAGCCTCTTGCCTCAGTTTTTTCTATTTTTAGTAGAGATAGGGGTCTCACTTTTGCTCAGGCTGGTCTCAAACTCCTGAGCTCAAGCAATCCACCTGCTCAGCCTCCCAGAGTGCTAGGATTATAGGCATGACCCACTGTACCCAGCTTGCTTTTTGCCTTTCAACAAAAAATTAGAAGAGGAACTAACAGGAAAAAACACAGTTGGAAGTGACTGAACAGCGTCAGACTGTCAGAAATGTTGGCATTATCAGAGCAGGAATTTTTTTAACTGTAATTAATATGCTAAAGGATTTACTGCAAAAAGTAGATAATATGTAAGAATAGGTGGCTAATGTATGCAGAAAGATGGAAATTTTAAGAAAGAATGAAAAAGAAATGGTAGAGATCAATAATGCTGTAAGAGAAATGAAGAATGCCTTTGATGAGTTCATCGGTAGACTGGACATGGCTGAGGAAAGAATCTCTGAGCTTGAGGATATTTCAATAGAAACTGCCCAAACTGAAAAGCAAAAAGAAAAAAGACTTAAAACAAAACTAGAGGGCGGCACCTATGGCTCAAGGAGTAGGGCACGGGCCCCATATGCTGGAGGTGGTAGGTTCAAATCCAGCCCCAGCCAAAAACTGCAAAAAAAAACTAGAATAGAATATCCAAGAACAGTGAGATAACTACAAAAGGTGTAACCTATGCTAATGGGAATACTAGAGAAAGAAGAGAGAGAAAAAGAAACAGAAGCAACATTTGAAGCAATCATGATTGATAATTTCCTCCAAAATTAATACCACACACAACACCAAGAAGCTCAGAGTACTAAGCAGGATAAACACCAAAAAGGCTCCACCTTTTGGTAGTTAGGCATATCATATTCAGACTTCAAAAAATCAAGGGAAAATTCTGAAAGAAACCAGAGGAAAAAGAAATACTTATAGGCTCAGTGCCTGTAGCTCAAGCAGCTAAGGTGCCAGCCACGTACACCAGAGTTGGTGGGTTCAAATCCAGCCTGGGCCTACCAAAAAAAAAAAAAAAGAAAGAAAGAAAGAAACACTTATAAAGGAAATTGCATTTCCCAGCAATACAAGTGTGGGTGGGGCAGATCAGAAGGATTGTTCACCTGAGTTCTCCTAGAATGACTGGGGAAAAAGAGAGAACCCAGCCATACCTGGCACAGGGACATTACCCAGAGTCATAGCTCAGGGAACACAGTGAGGAGATGGTGAGCTGGATACAGCATATGATCCAGTGTCGTGGAAATCTGATGAATTAAGCAAGTGACTGTGACTGGCTGAGATTGGCTGGCCACCCACAGAGGCCCAGGAAGGGAGGAAGACTGTCTGGAATTTTCAGTTATTGGGGGAAGCTGCATGTTGAGTGGAAAGCTTAGAAGAGTGGGTGGACTCAAACAGTATAAGCAACCAGATTTGAGTGCCAGTTGGAGTGGACCTGCCATAGGTTTGGTATCTAGTGAGACAGCCATACTGAGAAGGTCTCAGTGGCCAGGGGACTCCCATTGTGGAAAGGTTATAAGGAGGTCTTAGCAGGGGCCTAAAGCATGGCTGTCCTAATTGCACCTGCCAGGATCAAAACTCCACTCTTGGAACAAGCTGAGGGAATTCAGCTTGCCCCACAGGAATTGGAGTCAAGGGGCATTGTGAGACCTGCTCCTGATGGATTCTTGTGAGCTTTAAGATCCCAACCTGGCAGGGTCTGATTGCTGAGGAAACAATCAGGTGATCACTGAAGGCAACTAAGTTTGGAATAAGGACCATATAGGTTGTTGTCTGTGCTCTCTGTCTCCTAACAAAACCACAGCACAAAACCATATGCTGTCTCTAGGAGACACACCTAGCCTTGAAGGACAAATAAAGACTCAGGGTTAAGGAATAGAAAACAGTATTTCAAGCAAATGGAAATTTTAAAAAAGGAGGGGTTGCAATCTTATTTTTAGATCCAAGCAGATTTAAAGCAACTAAAGTTAAGAAAGACAAAGATGGACACTTTATACTAGTTAAAGGAACAATTCAACAAGAAGACATTTCAATTTTAAATATTTATGCATCCAACTTAAATCCTCCCAGATTCATGAAACAGACCTTGATGGGTCTGAGCAATATGATATCCTATAACACCATAATAGTTGGGGACTTTAACACTTCTCTGACAGAACTGGGCAGACCCTCTAAACAGAAATTAAAGATAAAGGACTTAAATATGACCCTAGAACAAATGGGTTTAATAGACATACAGAACACACCATCCCAAAGCTAAGGAATACACATTTTTCTTGTCAGCCCATGGTATGTACTCCAAAATCAACCATATCCTAGGATACAAATCAAAACTCAGCAAAATTAAAAGAATAGAAATTGCACCTTCTATCTTCTCAGACCACGAGGCAATAAAGGTGGAACTCAACTCCAACAAAAACTTTCATCCTCACACAAAGACTTGGAAATTAAACAACTTTATGCTAAATGATAATTGGGTTCAGGAAGAGATAAAAGAGGAAATTGTTAAATGCCTCAAACATAACAATAATGAAGACACAAGTTAGTTACCCAAACCTGTGGGATACAGAAGAAGCAGTCTTAAGACAGAAATTGATCACATTAGATGCCTATATTTGAAAAACAGAAAGAGAACACATCAACACACAGTCATGAACCATCTTATGGAATTGGAAAAAGAAAAACAATCTCAAATCCAGGAGAAAAAAGAAATAACCAAAATTAAATCAGAGATTAATGAAATTGAAAACAAAAGAATCATTCAGAAAATTAATAAAACAAAAAGTTGATTTCTCAAAAAATTAAATAAAATCAATAAGCCTTTAGCCAGATTAATTAGAAACAGAAAAGTAAAATCTCTAATCACCTCAATCAGAAACAATAAAGGAAAAAATAACAGATGCTACAGATACAAGAGATCATCTCTGAGGACTACAAGAAACTTTATGCTCAGAAATTTGACAATGTGGAGGAAATGGATCGATACCTGGAATCACACCCTTTCCCTAAACATAATCAAGAAGAAATAGATCTTTTTGAACAGACCAATTTCAAGAACTGAGATCAAAGAAACAATAAAAAATCTCCCAACAAAAATAATCCCTGGTCCAGATGGGTTCATACAGAATTCTCTCAAACCTTCAAAGAAGAGCTTATACCCATACTGCAGAATTTATTCCAAAAAATTGAGAAGGAAGGAATCTTCCCCAACACGTTCTATGAAGCAAACATCACCCTGATGCTGAAACTAGGAAAAGACCCAACTGAGAATTTCAGATCAATTTCACTAATGATTATAGATGCAAAAATTCTCAATAAAATCCCAGCTGGTAGATAACAGCTACACATTAAAAAAAAATTATTCATCATGATCAAGTAGATTTCATCCCAGGGATGCAAGGCTTGTTTAACATATGTAAGTCCATAAATGTAGTTCACCATATCAACAGAAGCAAAAACAAAGACCATATGATCCTCTTAATGGATGCAGAAAAAGCATTCTATAAAATTCAGCATCCTTTTCTAATTAGAACTCTGAAAAAAATAGGCATAGGTGGCACATTTGTTAAACTGATTGTAGCCATCTACAACAAACCCACAGCTAATATTATACTGAATGGAGTAAAACTGTGAAAGCTTTTCCACTTAGAA